GTGTATTCACTGTGAGGCTTTAAACTGGGATCAGATCAATGAATCTGACAGATGTGGGGCATCGCAAACCACAGAAATAATTCCATTGCGTTTTTTGTGACATGGAGAAAAACAAGCGTTGAGGAATCTTTTACAGCTCATAATGTCCGGACACATTGTTAGTCGTCATGTGACAGTGTCTATTGCATCATCAAATGTGCTTTTCTAGCACGGTTATAGACAGAAGGGGATTTCCCTTGTCTTTTCCCAATGCATTATGGGATAGGCTAATCTCTCCGGTGACCATAAACAAGTGGACAGATGGTTAGAAGTCATACAATAGTAGCACTGGCCAGGTGGCAACAGTTGCATCATGGGTGTTTCTCAATATGGACTCGGGTCAAAGGTCACAGAGCTGACCATGATGTAGGGGATGTCCGTCTGCTCAACCTCCTTCCCCCTCTTTCCATCTTGTGCTCTCTGATTTATTCAGGTCTGAGATGGCACAGAGGGCTTGACTCAGCCTGCTGCCAGACAAAGGCCCCACAGTGCAGTCAGTATTATTCAGGTCCCAGATCTGCCCTGAGTCCTATGAGATCACCACACTGCTATGTTTGCCTCAGACAAAAGTATTCACACACTTAGAAAGATGCTGTTTGGCGAGTTGAAGCACTGCTTTACTGATGCTGCACAGACAAGGGTAATATACACAGAACACACACACACACACTTACACAAAAAGGGGAAAAGGAGCTGCTTTGTCTAGATTTGGAATTTTTGGTGTTAATGGGATTTTGACCGGAGTGCAGTGCTGCCTTCAGTTGTTCACCAGAAAACTAGGACAGACTATGTTTTCTTGACTGAATTTTATTTTAAAAACTGAATGCATTCACTTGAGAAAACATTTGCCCTGTATTTAGGAATTTAAGTGATTATTATCTCGGAATTCAGAAAAAAAGTTTTGATGTATTTTTATTTTTATTTTTTTTTTTAACTTCTGGAGACGGGCCTTCAGTTGAGTTCAGCCAGGGCAAACCCTGGCGACAGGAGGGCGTCTTATCATGTTCCATCCCACTGTAGATGAAATCACATTCACTTCTGTTTGACAAAAGCTTCAACGCAGCGCCGGCATCTGTGTTCCCACGCAAACCGCACTCATGCGGGTCCTGAAAAATATGGCAGCATTGGAAAACAGTGATACCGATCACTGAATTTGAGGAAGTCATTGTTTAAACACGAGACAAGAATTAGATAGCTAGCGCATCCCGGAGTCCCTTCGCCTCACTCTCAGTGCCATCTGTACTGTTAGAACTGCTGAGCTGGATGCATCCCTAAGGCCAAACAATTTACAATTATATACATGTTTATGAATCATATTTCAGTGCTAAATTATGGCTGATGTCAAGTAATATTTAGTAAACCTAACTGACAACTGATAAGGGAACTTTTATGCTAACTAAGACTCTCTCTGCCAAGTCTCTCCCTGTGAGTATATCTAGCTTGTACCTGTATGCAGAGTCACTTTTCACCCTGTGCAGCAGAGGAAACACCATATTTCACGGTGTCACACACTGCTATAATGTTGTGCAGCATATCTCCATGGAAACCCTATACAAACAGCTGTGCAGAGAATGACCACTGCCTATGCACAATGCACTTGTGCACACCCACACACATATATACCCTGCACATCTCTCAGACATATGAATCATAGTGATCTCCTCATCACCCAAGGGTGAAAGAGGGGAATTCCACTTCTTATAGGGCTGGTCCAAAATCATCCATGATTTACAGCTCATGCATGATGGGGCATATCATATACTCCATGCAATATAATGCATGTATGAGCGTCGACATGTCTGCACACTAAATGTACGGCTAAAAACTCAAGATAAAGTCTGATAGGGCAAACAAAACATGTATAATTAAAAACATAAAGGGAGATTCCCTCTCATTATATCTCCTTCTTATTATAGCTGGTGCTTCAATTGGATGGAATAACACAGCATTTACCAAGCGCTGCAGGGAGAGTAGACAGGAGCTCCACTGGAAACAGCATTACAACAGTCTAGTGGGACCAAGGAATCCACAGACAGCTATTGGAAAGTCCAATCAAAAGATGCCATTTTGGATATTTAAATGAAGTTGAAGATTGAAAGTCGATGCCCAAACAATCTGTGATTAACTAAAAGTAGCGATGCAATCAAACTGAACCACAGGCTGAGCTTCTGTTGTTGTGAAGGCTACTGTTTGCTTGGTCTCCATCAGAAAGCTGTTTCCAACGGAGCATTTGATAGCGTTCTAGTTTAGTTACATTCGCTAGAACACAGTTAAGACCCAGGTTGTAAAACACTGACGTAGTCTTTTAAGAATGATACAAACTTGAGAGTAAAGTTACTTCCACAGACTCTGCTCTCGCTCTGTGAAAACGCAGATCACAGCATACACACAGTAATGAGTAACACGAATGCAGACACAGTGAGGTCGCCGACCCCCGGCTAGATGACGACAGCAGACTGCATTTTAAGTTGTAGCCCTTTGACCCTGCTAACCTGGAACCACTGACACCATGTTTTAATTCAACTTGTAACAATTCAAATCCCTGTTTACTCTCAAACGCATTCTCCACAACGTCCACGAGCTCGAGGACTAAGATTTGTATCATGAAAAAAGGAATTGTTACTCAGAGCTGGTTGCTTTTGTGAATTCTGTTGGCTTGCACACACACACACACACACACACACACACACACACACACACACACAC